CCGTGGAGGGGGTGGGGTAGGGGCTTCGGGAAACGCCGAGAGAGGTGTGAGCTGCCTGCAGAGGCGACTTCCTGGTCGGTTTTCGGGTGCGGGGGGGCGGCGGTGGGAGACTTGTTGCTGAGAGTTTGCGATTTGTGCCGTTGGGGGGGCGGGGCCGTCCCCCAAGGGTGCTGGGTAATGAGAAGGGGCGCAAATCTCAGAAACCCACCCTGGTATGTTGACTCTGTGCCAGCGAGACCGAGAGAGGAAAACTGGGTGGGCGGGGCCAGGATGGAGCGAGGGGGGCCGAGTTGGCAACAGAGTCATGCCAGACGCCACATTTGCAGTATCCCCCCCCCCCGGCTCCCCTTTCCCTGTCCCAAACGTTTCCAAGCGGGATTCTGGGGAGAGGGGCTGCTCCGCGCGCAGAAAGGCAGGAGCGTGCGGCGCAGGGAGGGTGCCCGCCCCTGCTCCGTGGGCGGACACGTTTGCACACAAGGGGCTGGAAAGCAGCCCCCTCCCCGCCCCCAATGCACTGTGCTGACTTGGGCTGGGGGTGCAGAGTGAGCCCCCCGCCCTCTTTTCCCCTCCCCCCTGTGGTACTCTGCTTAGGGACGGTCCAGAGCTAGCTGTTGGGGGTGCAGGAGAGAAGGGACTGGCTGGAAGCAGGGAGGGGGCGGGAGCAAAGGGACGGGGGGAGTGGTCAGCCGGGAGAGGGGTGGGGGTAGGGTGGAGCCGGGACTGGGAGGAGCCCGCTCAGACATAAAAGCTGAGGCACTGACCAGCTTGGGGACCGGACTTTAGCTTCTCCTGTGAGGCAGTCTTCCAGCCTTGTCTGCTTCTTCCAGCCCCAGGAACCTCCTGTCCAGCTGCAGGTAACCAGAGCTGCTGGGCGAGCACCCCAGTGCGCTGCCGCTCCGGCCGCCGACCACCTCGGCCTCGGCCCCCGCGGCTGCGCCTGGCCCCTGCCTCTGGCACAGCCCCTGCGCCCTCTCTGCCTCTGCCCTGCTGGGGCTGTCTTGCTCACCTGCACATCTGCATGCCTCTCGGCCAGGCTTGCGTTCCCTGCTGGTGCCCTGGACTGGACCCCACACTGGATGGAGCTGCCGCTCGGCGGGTGCCGAGCCACTCGCTGGCCACATTTGTTCTTAGAATTTGGAAAGGGCTGGCAGTGGAGGCGGCAGAGAGCGCAGCCGGGGCCATTCCAGAGCAGCAGGAGGTGAGCGAGGTGGCACTTCAGGTCCCTCCGTGCAGCCGGCCACCGCTCTTTAGCGAGCTTCAGCCAGAGTGTGCTCCCTTATGCCCTCACCATCCCGACTCGTGGCTTCGAAACTCTCCCGGCCAGCGAGCAGCAGCCGGGCTCCAGGCGGGGAGGGCCCCGGCTGCTCGCCGCCCCTCTGCCCACTGGGTGCGGAGCCTGGGAGGGGCAGCCCACCCTGCCTTTGCTCGGGTAGCCTCGGGCTGCCACTGGCTTCAGAGGCCCTGGGCCATGACTGTGCCCCCAAAAGGGGCTCTCTCCTGTAGAGGGCAGGCTGGGGCTGCCTGCTTGGGGGCGGGGGGGGGGCTTCTCCTAGTGGGAGGGGCAGGGCAGCTCGCCGTGTCTAAAGAGAAACTGAGGTTCCCTCCCAAGCCCCCCACTCCTTGCTCCAGGGCTGTTCGGGGGTGTGTCCTAAGGACACTCCCCTCCTTCCGAATTGGGCGCCGAAGGACATGGCGTCCGGCCTCCAGGTGGCCTCGCCTTCTTCTCTCCAGCTGCTGCCCCGGGTGCAGTTTGGTACCCCAGACTGGGAGAGGGCCTCATGGTCCCCGAGGGGCTTCGAAGTCCCCGGCCCTGGGTGTCGTGATACCAGGCTTGGAGAGGAGGCTTTCGGCTCTTCCGCTGGTGTTGGCCCCCGGGGCGGGCTGGAGCTGGGGCGCTGGGAGGTTGAGGAGCATGAGGTCCCCGGGTGTGGGCAGCACCCTCGTTCACCACTGGATCCTGAACTGTGCTCAGCCACAGATGGACGGGAAAGGGGGAGCGGGGGAAGGGGGAGGCAGTGTGGCCGGCCCAGCAGGACCCCTGCTGCTTGGGGAGGAGGGGTCGGTCTCCTGGGTTACTCACTCTCCGTGGTGGGGTGGGGCTGTCTGCCATCCTGGCTGGCAGTGGGAGACCCAAGGAGTGGCCACTGCCCTGTGCTGGCCCCACCCTCATGACATCATAGGATGGAGGCCAGGTCCAGTGTCCAACACTGAGCCCCCGCGATAATGGCAGTGGGGACGGGCGGCCCTCGGAGCCAGTCAGAGGTGTGCTTGCCACCGGCCCCCGCCCGCCTCCGCGGTTAAGACGCGCTGTTTGTCAGTCAGAGCGGTGCCACCGCGGGGAAATCCCTCATGTACAGCCGTGACGGAACTCTAAGTCTGGACGTGGCTGGGCTGGTGTCCCCAGAGGAAGCTGGCCCGGCCCCTTCGCCGGCCTCGCCTCTTGGGGAGCCCCCTGGCTGGCGGGGTGGGTGGGGCTCACTGCCTCCTCTCGGCCCCCAGACCCTAATGGAGCTCCCGATGCCGAAGTCGGTGCTGGCGGCGCTCGCCTTCTTGGCCTTGGCCTCGTGCTGCTTTGCTGCTTACCGCCCCAGTGAGACCCTGTGCGGCGGGGAGCTGGTGGACACCCTCCAGTTCGTCTGTGGGGACCGCGGCTTCTACTTCAGTAAGTAGCTCGGCCGGGGCGGAGGGGCCCGGGGGAGGGGCGCACACAGCAGATGCTCAATAAATGCCAGAGTCCGCCTTCCCGTGGGCCTGGGTGGAGGGAGGGCTTGCCAAGGTGGGTGACCCCCGGCTCCCGCCTCACGGTTGGGACCCCGCAGTTCGTCTTTACTGGGCACCTGCAGGGTGCCTAGGTGGCACTCACGCCCCCTGGTTCTACACCGTGGCTTGAGGACAGCCGACTGTGGTCTTCACCTGGGGCCAGACTTAGCAGGCGGGTGGGGCGGGGCTTCCAGATGGGCCGAGCCAGGCCTGAGCAGAGGCAGCCTCTCCCTGACCTGCCCACGGGTGGGGCCGTGGGCACCGAGTCTCTTGGGTCCCTTGACATTTTAACAATGGGCACGCGTTCATGGGCAATCGGATTTAAAACTCAATCAAACGGATGACAAAGCAGTGGGAATAAAAACACGTGTTGCTCGCGGGTGTGAGTGTGTGTTCCCTACATGCTCAGGGCACTTAGCTCCACATGGGGGTGCAAGGGAAGACTCGAGCCCCCAGGGTGGGGTGTTCTGGGGTCTGCACCTGTGGGGCGGGCCACGGCGTGGGCGCCCAGCTGCTGGCCTGAGCTTCGGCTGCTGTCCTGCTTCTGTCCTGGGGCTCCCCCCGCCCCTGCGCCCTGGGCAGCAGGGCGGAACCCCTAGTTGGAGGTGACTGCTCCCTGCTCCCACCTCCCAGCCAGCTGGGCCTCAGTTTCCTTACCCGTAGAGTGGGGCAGGAACTGGGGCGCGGGCCCCGCCTGACCTGAGGGTGGGGAGAGGAGAGAGTGCTCCCTCTGGGCTCAGCCGCCATTCCTGGGGGGTGCCGGGCTGGGGAGGGCAAGTCGGCTGTGAAGGCCACACCTGGCCCCGGCCCTCCCCGTGGCCCACAAACGTCAGTCTTGGCATTTCAGAGCTTCTCTTGGAAAAGCGTTCCTGCTCCTCGGGCTTCTGAAGCCCCTGCCCGCCCGGCCTCCCCTGTGCCCCTTCTCTCCCTTGCCTCGTTCGGGGGCAGGAAGTGGCACTGTAGGGTCTGGCGCCAGCTGGCCCGAGCCCCCACCCTCAGGACCCCATGGCAGAGCCCCTTCTAGGGGCTCCTCTCCCTCCCCCACAGTGGCGCCTGCCCTTGGCACCCCGGGATGAAGCGCTGGTGCTTCCCCTCTGGCCAGGACGAGCCGCGTGGAGCCGAGGGGGAGGGCGGGAGGGCAGGAGGGCGTGGTTTGTGCAGGTCCTCACTCCTCCCCTCCCGTCTTCTTCTTCCTCCTCCCATCCCCGCCTGGCGGCTCCTGCTCAGCTCAGGGTGGCACCGTGTCCCAGCCTGGCCTCGGGACAGGACCCACACTTTGCAAAGGGCTCTGGGTCTGGGGACCCGGAGGCCGTGCTCACGTCCGGTGTGAGGGGGCCGGCACCGAGAAGCGGGGGTGGGGGGGGATGCCACCCCCTCTCCCTCCTCTGCTCCCGGGCACCCCTGCGGGGGCCCTCGCCCTCCTCCGCCCTGTGCCACCAGGCCGGGGGGCCCTGGCGGCGTGGGGAGGCGCATCCCCGGCGGTGCCCAGTGCTAAGGGACCCTCTCCCCCTCCCGCGGGGCTTCCAGGCAGGCCAGCCAGCCGCGCGAACCGCCGCAGCCGGGGCATCGTGGAAGAGTGTTGCTTCCGCAGCTGCGACCTGGCCCTTCTGGAGACCTACTGCGCCGCCCCCGCCAAGTCCGAGAGGGACGTGTCGACCTCTCCGACCGTGCTTCCGGTAAGACGAGGGCCAGCGGGGGCGCAGGGCCCCTCCCTCCCCTGGGAGCCCCTTAGGACCATCACCTCTGAGCCAGGGGACAGGGTGCAGCCAGCTCCTTAGCCGGGAGTACAGCTCAAGAGCAATTCACAAGTTCGCCTGGTGTTCCCCGCCGGGGATATTGGCCAGAAGCTGGGCGCGCTGTGGGTCTGTAGCCTGGCAGGATGACAGGTGTAGGTGCGCAGGCTGGCGGGGGGCTGGAGCGGGGAGCTGGGCGCCCCTTGACTAGCCCTCCCCTCCCAGGACAACTTCCCCAGATACCCCGTGGGCAAGTTCTTCCAATATGACAGCTGGATGCAGTCCGCCCAACGCCTGCGCAGAGGCCTGCCTGCCCTCCTCCGAGTCCGCCGGGGCCGCATGCTTGCTCGGGAGCTGGAAGCCTTCAGAGAGGCCACGCGTCACCGGCCCCTGATGGCTCTGTCCACCGACGACCCCGCCGCGCACGACTCCACTGCCCACGGGGGTGCCTCCCCAGAGGGTCCCAACAATCGGAAGTGAGCCAGACCGTGGTCGTAATTCTGCCCAGGGCCCCATCCTCCTCGTGCTCCCCTGACCAGCGACCTTTCCACCAGGTCCCGCTCTGAAACCACTCTGCGCCGTCCTCCCCAGGGCTCCCCAGCCCGCCCCCGCGCCCCAGCCTCCCCAAGTCAGGCTGCTCTCCCTCGCCCTTCCACCGGCTGAGGGAACCCCAGCAAAAGCCGCAAAAATGGACACACCCGATTGGCTCTGACTCTCCCAAATTATCCCCCCAAATTATCCCCCAAAATAGTCCTCCAAATTATCCTCCAAATATCCCCAAATTCCCTCCCA